ACTAAGAGCCCACTGTAATATTATTTCCCGGGGAAATAAAAATAGTCAAATATGGTGCACAGGGCAAGAATTATAGGATGTTTTCTCACTTGCCATATCCTGTTTTTGTTCACTTCATCTGCTTAAACCGGGCCACTGCCTAAATGTAAGCCTATTACACTCTGTAACATTTTTGAGCATCAGTTAAATACTGCTAAAGAAGACAAGGAGGTCATATATATCACTCAATAAACTTCACATGCGAGTCAGTTCCTTTTTTAGTCTTTTCCCCCCTTTATTTAAAATAATATTTACATATTTTTGCCACTTATATTTGTAAATTAGATTTCTATTGTACACAGTTGATTTGTTATTGCCTAATTATTTGTATATTTTTATAATTGAAGTCATTGGTGTCAGTTGAACTGAAAATAAAATAGAATAAATGCAACCTTTAATAATAACTTGTTAAAGAGTATAAACTGTACTAAAATAAAATATAATTAAATGTAACCTTTACTAAAATCATATAAATTAAATTAAATAAAACTAAAATGTAACCTTCACCATACAATAATTTGTTAAAAAGTGTAAACTGTACTAAAATAAAATAATGTAATGTATTAGATTTATTATATAATAGTTTCTTAAAGAGTTTAATCTTTACTAAAATTTTTACAAAATAAAATAACACAAATGTAACCTTCACTATACAATCATTATGTAATCTTAACTAAAAAAATAAAATAAAATTATGTTAAAAAAAATCTAATGTAACCATCATTATACAATAATTTGTTAAAGGGTGTAAACTTTACTAAAATAAAATAACATTTTAAATTTAATTTAATTTAATTTAATTACATTTTTTACCTGATTATTCAGCAGGACACCTGTAAGACTGTTAGTGGAAGTGGGGGAAAGGTCTTTGTCTACTGTATGTGTGGAGGTAAACACTGAGAAAGCCGTCAGCTTCAGGGCTAAATTTAGAGACGGAGTCAGAGGGGGGTATCTCCCAAGGTCACGGAGGAATGCACACACAACCCAGCGCTCACGCTCACACTAACACACTCCCACACACACACACACACAGCAATTGAGATACAGGTCTGCCTAAACCACAGGCGTCCCTGGGGACTGAGAGTTTGAGTCTGAAGAGGTCTGACTTCTGTATTATCTGGAAATGGCCTTTTTTCCAGGAGTTGTGTAATGGCCGCTTTGTCTCCTCTTTAAAAGCCTCGCTCTTATCTGTGGCATTAGGAAGGTCTCAGATTCGCCACGGTTTGAACTGAAGTGAAAGAAGCTGAGAAAGAAATCTCACATGCATAAGAGTTTCAAGAGTTTTTAAGCAGAAAAGCTTAGACAAGCACACTGATGTAATTTAACAGGCTAGAAAACATGATCATGTCACTGAGTTTATAAGGGAAGCAGCAATGTCAGCTTCAAATTACTTAATGGTAATCAGTGAATAATATCAATTCAAATTTATTTCACAATCACACAATGCTATTGTATGACTTCAGAGTCACACGGACTACTTTTATGATTTTTTTAATGGTGCTTAGTGTCTAGAAGTTTGCAAAGCTCATTACAGTTGGATGGAAAAGATTGACTGCTGTATTATTAAAAATGTCTTTTATGTTCCACAGAAGAAACAGGACGGGTCTAGCATGACATGTTGGTGAGTAAATGATTGAAGAACTTTCATTTTTGGGTGAACTGGTCCTTTAACCTGGCTCTGTTTAAAAAAAAAAACACTTTGGTCCCTCCATCTGTTCATAGTGCGGGGTCAGCAAAAAAAAAGAAAAATACAAATCGGAGCCAAGAGATAGAGAGAGAAACAAAGAATAGAGCACCCATTTTTCTCTGCCTATAAAACAATGCCCTCATTTTAATGTTCAGACTTTTCAAGACACGTTTTCTTCAGCATAAAGCTGGATATTGACAGATGCTGCCAGCTCAGTGTAGCCAAATACTGTACTGCCTGTACGGAAACAGCTTTCATGTGAAATCCAAAACCAGTGACCAAATTTCCAGCATGAGCTGACAGCATTAGCTACTGTACAACGTGATTCCCATGCAAAGTCCAAATAAAGCCGCCCTGCATCTTACCCAGAAAAAAAGCTAGCAGCAGGATGGCATAAAGATTAGTTTAGAGGAGGTCAAGAGGTGCTTGTTTTCATGCAGGATTTCGGCGAAAAACGCAGAGGGATTGTCTTGTGACGCTGTTATTTAGATGCTCATTTATCTGAACTCTGTTGGCTAAAGTCACTGTGATGTTTATAATCATGTGCTTTGGCTTTTTGAATAAGAGCCACACGCTAAGAAAGCAGAAAAATAATAATTCTCTGAAAACCTCTTACAGGATTATACAGAGATTCAACATCACTTCATCTACACACAAGTTTAAGATTAGTTTATGATTTGTAGCCACTGCACACACTGCAACACACTCCATTTGAATGGATGGATTTTTTAATAGCTACACAATGCAATGTCAATACGGTAATGACTTCCATCATGCCGGTCTGCAAATAGACATCCAAAGCTCTTATGTCACGAACTGTGATATAATCCAGGTTAAACTGTGATATAACTTAAAAACTCAGTTTACTGCAGTTGAATGAACAAAATAAATAGATAGTCTAGGTGTCTAGGCACCATGACCGCAACAGTAAATGCTGACAATGCTGATAGATTCTCTATAGAACAATAAATGAACACACTAAAGTAAACTGATTCATTTTAAAGGGATGGTTTGTTCAAAAATTAAAATTCTGTTATTCACCCTCGTGTCTTTTTTTAAATTATTATTATTTTGAACTAAATTGGACCCCATTGACTTTGTATGGACAAAAAAAAGTTTTTTTTTTTTTTTTTCAAAATATCTTATTTTGCGTTCTACAGAAGGTTTTAAATTAAATAAGGGTGAGAAAATGTTTATAGATTTGGAGTGTACTACCCCTTTAAAACCAATAATTTACACACACTCTATTACAGTGGTTCCCAACCCTGGTCCTGGAGGCACCCCAAAACTGCACATTTTGCATGTCTCCTTTCTCTGACACACCAATTTCAGGTCTTGGAGTCTCTACTAATGAGCTGATGACCTGAATCAGGTGTGTTTGTTTAAGGAGACATGCAAAACATGCAGTGTTGGGGTGCCTCCAGGACCAGGGTTGGGAACCACTGCTCTATTAGATCATCAACACCGCAAAGCATTTCAGAGCTGCATTAGGGTCGTTCAGTGGAAGATATGGATGATGTGGAAGTGTACAGGGTCAGTGGACGTGCGGTTTTCCCTTTGGGACCAACACCAGAACAGGCTGTGATAGTGACAAATGTCTACAGCAGCATTACAGACACGTAGGACAATGCTGAAACCACAGCATCCAACAACAACAATCATCTTGTTAGAAATTACCTTTTATTGTTAGTGCTAGAGAATGTTTTTTTGTCACTAGGAAGGTGTTACCATAAACGTAACGAATAAATCTTCTCTGAACAGATGAGGGAAGCTTATTTAACTGTCGAGAGTCAGCTAAAGAAGTTCTTCTGTATTTTGAGTTATTTAAATCAGGACATCAATCTGCTCTTTCTTGGTTCTTATTTCATCTTAAGGGGGCATTTCTTAAAGCTAATGAATGCAAAATGAGTCACATCTTTCACCTTGAGGTGAGTGTTTTATGGGCGGTGTGAACTATAGGCTACTCAGCATGTTCTCCTGTAGAAATCGTTATCTGCAGCTGTGGGATCTGCACATAGCTGCCCAGCGCCTTTGATTTGCACCATTTCTCTAATGTGTGTTTGTGTGTGTTTATTTAAAATCATGGGATTTTGAACAGTCAGAACATCTTTTATCTAATAAGCTAGCAATTTCGTAAAGAACTTACGTAAAGCAGCAAGAAGTCAAAACTTAGAGTTATGTCTGAATATGCCAAATTCCCTGCTATGTATGTATATGCTACATTTGACTATTCCATGAGGCCGCAGGAGAGGAGTTGTGATGAATGGATCTTGCTTAGATTTGATACTCATTGATACCAGGCATAGGTCTGGTGTCTCTGGAGAAATAATTAACCGTGTTTCAAGATTGATGAGCCACTCATGAGTAACTTCAGCAGAGTCCATGGCAATCTGACTGTGGGTGGCAGGCTAGTCTGAAGAAAGCTGCAAAGACCTCGACATCAGCAATCATCAGACATCAGGGTTATGCTGCCTTCACGTACTATTGGAGTTATTGGAAATTGGACATGAATGGCCTCAGGAGCCATATTTATGAATAGAAAACTCCGAGATAATTTTGATACCCGAGTTTCAGAGTTGAGCGGGCCATAAACTTTAAACATGGATAATGTATAAATAACCATATGATGCATATTGTATGTATTTTACACAGCATTTATAACATTTATTTGACACTGTATTGCTAGATTAGGGTGTCCAATCCTACTTCTACAGGTCTGATGTCCTGCAGAGTTTAGCTCCAACCTGTCCAAACACCAGATGTATCTAGTAATCTTGATTAGCTGTTTCAGGCTGTTTCAGAGGTAAACTCTGCAGGATAGTGCCAGGAACAGGATTGGACACCCCTCATCTAGACAGTGTGGGTAATGTTTATATGGTTGCCAATTAATGGGATGCTACATTTTATTCAAAATCTGTTGGATACTGACTAAACATCTTCTCTATATTTTGGCTTAAATAAAATGTCCCCAAGAAATACACAAGAATAAACTTGCCATCCTCCATGATTCCTATTCTTTCCAACAACAAAGCACATGAACGTGACAAACTCATCATCACGACTTCAGAAGTGGAAAGTAGGACATTTCTGAACGTGCACATTTTTTTATCAGACCTCTTAAAGTTCTGTTTCTCATTTTACCATTTATCAGATCATATATTTGGCGTATTAGCTAATACTAAACTGGTGAACATGGAAAGGAGAAATATTTCTCAGGCATAAAAGCACACCTTCAGTGTTTTCAAATATGTGTCATTTTGCAAGTCAGACCCACCATTCACGCCATTGTAAAGGCTCCGATGGTGTGGCGACAGCTCTTCTCCTGCCAATCTCCGAGGTGACATCTCTCTACCAGGGCTGCCAAACTTCCCATGTTCAGGGCTCATGCTGTACTGGTGCCTCAGCATCTCAGGACTACTTCCTCCCAGCTTGCTTTTGTCATGGTGGAGCTCTGATGTTCCTAGCAGCAGGTGTCTAGCTTCTGGACTCCCAGGCCCACTTCCTAAGCTGCCCCTGTGCCTCTGGATGTAGAGCTCAGGACTCATGGGTTGTCCTGGAGCCAGATGGTGCTTTGGATAAGTCTCCGGACTCCGGTGGCCCAGGGATCGACCGTACTTTTCTGGACTAAGCCCTCTAATCAGCCGATGGTCAGGCACAGATATGGAGCCACAGCGTGGTCGGCAGGGCTGGGGCAGTACGAAGGGATACTCCAGGCTAGTGCTTCTGTGCCGGACGGGAGGGTCAGGGCTGGAGATCTCCACCCGATCTCCTTCCCCTCTTTTCCCAGGACGAGCCTTCTGGATCTCCGGGCTTTTATTCCCAGTTCCTCCGCTAGACAGCGGCTGTGGCTGCTTATGGTGTGGATGCTCAGAGCTGTCAGCGCTTCCAGCGCTAGAAGTGCTGCTTCCGTCCCCCACGTCCCGCATCAAGCCGGGTACCAAGAGCCCACTCTGGCTATCAATGGAGTTGCGACACCCAATGGACCCCGTCCCACTTTGGCCTCCTTCCCCTCCGCTGCCTCCTTTCTCCTCGACTATCAGCAGACAAATTTCCCTAAGCTCCAGGTTCTCCCGAATGACCTCCTCCTGCTTGCGCTCCAGTTCTGTCAGCTTCTGAAGATATAGTGCCACCTCCTTACGCATAACGCTGGCACTGAAGCGGCCCAGACGCTGCCACTCACGTGACACTCGCTTGCCCTTTTGCCGGTCATCGTCCAGAAAACAGCACAGGTCTCGCAGTTCCCGATTGTCGTCCTGCAGCTTCTGGTTTACCTCCTTCATCACAATTGGGAAAACAAAATATACAAAAAGTGTTTACATATTTTAAAATGTTGCTATTTAGGGACAATTCTTGAGGCCATACAAACTATATCTTATCATTTCTTTGATTTAATAATTCATTATGAGACTAAAGTGTAGTTAAAAGGGGTTGTTCAAGCAGAGCTCTCATGTATTTCTGTCACTGATCGAAGATAGAACAGTCTAAAGCTATGATCTTCTCTTAGGTGCCACATTTGACAAAAATCTGCTTGTCCATTAAAGCAACAGCTCACCTGACACACATGAGAACCAAATGCATTTGGCATCAATGTTACCAAACTTTGCGTGACATATGATGATTGAACTTGAACTGAGATTAAAAAGCTTCAAAATATTTACAGTGAACGTCAACTAAGCTATATTGCATGGCTTCAAAAAAACTTATATATAGTGCAAGTGTCATATGGACTATTTTTATGGAACTTGAAAGATGTGGTCACTGTGAATTGTCTTTATATGACACAAAGCTGAAATTTAAAAAAATTATAATAATGTATTTTTGATAATCTGTTCCTTTAAAGGGTACAACATTGTGCATTTTTATATTAATGTTTATTTATATACAACATTCATGGTTAAAAATTGGGAAATGCTCACATTCATGTACAACAGGTGTTTTACCATTACAGTTCAAACATAAAAAATATAAATGATTAATTATAAATTATTTAAATATATATATATATATATATATATATATAATAATAAACGAAGGTACTCATTGCTTATATCAGTGTAAAGTTTTTGCTTTTTTCCAGAAGCTTTTCGGTTTAATCAAAAGAAAAGCATATAATGCAACAAGAAAATATTCAAGCCGTTATTCCTACAAGAAGAATGATGTGCACCTAGGTGCTTCTGGCGCATCCTCAGAGAGCGCAGGTGTGCTCCAGACACCCATGATCTCATCTGCTCACCTTCAGCCCCCGGATCTCGTTCAGATGCAGCTGGAGGCTGCGGTTCACCTCCCGAATCAGATTACTGTGATCCAGAATGACGCTCATTTTATCGGCTTCAGAACTTCGGAGCCGCTGCACCAGCTCCTCTTTGCTCCATTGGAGGAGCTCTTCATCCGTGAGGTTGGAGATGTCTTCTGCTGGACTTTCTGGCTCCTTGGATCCAGGCTGTGCTTGTAGAGATTGTGCTTTCTCCATCAGAAGTGGCGAGCTGCTGCTGTGATACCAGGTGCTGATCAAATATTAATGAGGCAGGCAGCATCCGCTGTGTTAGGAGGAGTCAGGGAGACAGAGGACGCATCGTGGAGTGATGCCCGTATCCGATGCCCTTAGAGTGGGAGTCGCCTCGAGTTTCTCTCTCTCTCTCTCTCTCTCTCTCTCTCTCTCTCTCTCTGCTTGTGTGTCGTGAATGTTTGTGTGTGTGTGTGTGTGTGTGTGTGTGTGTGTGAGTTGCCAAGAGGTGATGCTGCCAAAGTTGCATTTAGATTTGTCCACCATCTATGGACACATTGAGGTACTACAGGTGAAAATGCTAACATTTTTCCTTCTGTTGAAACAATAACGTTTCAGACATTAACTTAAGGTAAGGTAATTATGTAATTAGGGCATGACTAAGGCCATTCACTGTATACATACGTTTGATTACACAGCTCTATACTGCCTACCTTGAACATTTTGATGTAAACCCTCTTTCACATTTTAGAAAAGTTACGTTTTTTTAAATTTTATTTTTCATTAAAAAACATACATTGGCCCCTGAGACAGAAAATACAGAACTACCCTGAAAGAAAAGAGAATATAAATATAGCCTATTAACTGTCAAATGACATTTTTTTTAATTACTGTTTAACTATTTAACACTTTATATTTGACGTTTGACTTGACCCTGAATGAAACATATTAAATTACATATTAAACAAGATTCTTTGTATTGTGACTTTATCCATCCATTCTTTTTTTATAATATCTATTTCAATTTCATGAATATTCATAAACAGAGTAATAATTTAATGCATAGCCTATGTGTATTTTTATTTTTATAATTTTTCATCTTAATATAATAGCCTACGTTATCTCAGATCAACGGTATTGTGTGTAGGCTATACTACTATATTATTACAAGTCGATAAAAAAATTGCTTGGTCAAAATCGATACAGTCTATGGTCAAAATATGCATAGCTTACTCTTCAATTCATCTATATTAATTTGATTATAATATGATATAATACGTTCCTACGTAAGCATTGTCACGACTCACAACCCGTCAAAATATTGTTCAGCCGTATTGAAAGTATGTGAGAAATTTGACGTCGCAGGTGTTTACGCAGAACTCATTTGCATCGAACGCTGCGCAGCGCGTCTACGCACTGAAATCCGACACTGCGGCGAACGCTCCTCTGACGTCATGCGGAAGCAGCCAATCGTGGCGCACGCAGTGTGTAGTAACACGTCACTCTGCGGAGCTCCAGGAACCGGCTGCTCGACGAAGTCATTTTCACTTTCAATGGTCGTGTGATCGCGGTTATCATATTTTATTTATTAAGGCCTCATCGATTAAAAAGGTACGTCTATCGTTGTGTTCTATTAATAAAATCGGGGTTCGTTGATGTGTTAGATTTAAACCCGCAGAACCCGGATTAGGTCAGCGGAAGTCAGTAACGATAATGTTACTGTGTGTGTACGGGGTGTATTTAGTAGTATGTTTTGACGTTAATGTTCGGGATATTCTATATTTTTTAATAATATATCTGCCTTATTTCTTGCTTTCCTTTTCTGTGGTGTATTGAGAGTGTGATGGAATTAGCTAGCGCGAGCTTGTTTTCTTTTCTTTTTTTTTCTTCTTTTTTTTTTATTGATTTCCAACATATAATATAAAGGTACTGAACAAATATAAACTACAAAAAGAAATAGGGAATATACAGTATTATATAAATAATAATTCAGGTAAAAATAAATAAATAATGGGGAAAAAAAAACGAAACAGAAAAAAGAACATCATATAAATAACAGAAAAGCTTCACAAAGAGACTTAGTGCGTTTTGCTTTACTGTTTTTCAACCCAAGTAGTAACTCAATATAATTTTTCATATCTATCTGAAATAACAAAAAGTTGGGTTTTCCTTTAGCCCATTTCTGTTGATGTATATGGTATTTGCCCATAATCAAACAAAGATTAACAATAAAGGCCACATTTGG